TTCTCACTGAAAATCCTCGTCCCGGCGGCACCTTTTTTTGAATTTTCTTCCTTTTCAACGCCGTTTTTCGGGAATTTCGGATTTTCTTTGAATTTTTTCGCAATAATATTCGGAAAATAGATAAATTTTAACACATTTTAATGCAATAAAACTTTCTGGTCGGAGTCCCCCTTTAATTTGTAAAAATTCGCTAAAGCATTCATTACATGGAACTATTACTAAGTGTGAACAACGTCCAATATTGCCACCATATGACTACAGTGTATCTGATCAAATGAACCCATATCACACTTCACACACTCATCCGAAATCGCTCTTTGAGCTTCCATAGCTCATTTGCACTAAACTCTATCGGTCTCTTTTCGTCACTTCGTTACACGGGAAGCTCCGCCCCCTTTGTGTATTCCATTTGTCCAGTTCGATTTGATCTTTTCTCTGATAACTCTTGAACACTCTCAAATCTCAATTCTCTCTTTCTGATTGCTCATTGGTCCTGTAAAACGGGAAAGAAAAGAAATCGTAAACAATCTGCACGGGTCCGTGACTTTCGGCTTGTTTTCTATTCGTTCTAGATGCAGTCACATCTGGTTCAGAGGCAGTATAAAAGGCGGGCTCTGGGAAGTAGTCAACAATTCGGAGAGATTTTATTTCTTGAAGAATCTATTCTACTGATATAATGACTAGTGTCGACGTTGCTCACGATCAAGGAACCAAGTGGGATTGGCCATTCCAGAAGGGAGATGGAGTTGTTAAGGTTTGTATACTTTTTGTATTTTAAGTTTTTAAGTCTTTTTAGCATTCAAGACCTGACAATCACTCTTATCAATAAGTTTCAGGTTCTCGAATACGAAGACCACTTCGAAGTCGGACTCGAGGCCTTCAACTTCGAGCCAAATGAGATCGATGTGAAGAACGTTGGAGAGTTCCTTGAGATCCATATGGCCCACACTGCCAAGGACGACAAGTTCGGAACCATCACTCGCAGTATCACCAGATGCTACAGACTTCCAAAGGGAACCGATCCATCGACCATCAAGAGCAAGTTGGACGGATCTGGCATCCTTCACATCACTGGAAACAAGAAGTAATTCTTTTCATCACTGGAACTCCTATGAAAGCTTGTAGTAAATAATTGTAATGATCTTTTGTCTTTTTTGAAGCTTTACTGCCGTTTTAATAAATAAACTTTCATGCATTCAGATGTTTTCTATTCTCGAATTAACACAAGGATTGAGTCCGAAAACGTCTTCAAGGTTCTTATTTCAGCCGGCGATCCCAAGATTTTCACATCACAAAGCAGCGATTTCAGATGTTTCTGAGTACTTTTGTGACTTTACTTTTGTCCCGCTCTTTCGAGGGGACTCCAAAAATTGGTAATAATACTCAAAGTTTGCTCCTTTGCACGGAAATCTTTAGTAAAAGGCGAAAGATTTTCACGGTCAAATGCAGAGGAACCAGAGTTGATTAGAGTGACCAGAGCGCGCTATACGTATGCGCCCATGTACCGACTCTTCCCGGGTTCCGCCGCCCGCTATGTTTTGTGTGTAGAGTGGGCGGGGCTTAGCGGAGGAGAAGAGACGGAGGAAAAGGGATCGAAGAGTGGGGAGCTGTGAAAATGAAAAATTGAAGGGATTTTTGAGGGGAAATAAAAAGAGAAGAATCTATGGGAAAATTCTGGGTAATTTCAACGTAATTTAATTTCAATTAATTTCATGGATTTTCAGACATTTCATTGCGATTTCTGGGTTTTTTAAAGTATTTTGTAAACATTTTCGCCGTTTAAAGAGTCAAATTGGAAGTGGCTTGTAAACAAAAAAAAACCTTTAAAAAATACAGAATTCCAAGGAAATCTGTGAAAGTTGATTTTTTTCATACTTGCAAAATCAGGGCCTGGCTCGTGACTCCTCGGCCATACCTGGCCCAGCGGGCCCGGATTCTCCAAATTTGAACAAAAAATTTGAAAATTCAAATATTTTTTCAAATTTTTTTGTGAAAGAACTATTTTTTATGGACACCCTTTCTTGAAAATTTTTTTCTTGTCAGAAAAATCGTCCATTTTTTCTGTTGACTCCAAAAAATTTTTTGAAAGGCAGAAAACATTTGTTCTGAAAATCCGGGCCGAGACGGGCCGTGCTCTGAAAATTCTGGAAAAAGTCGGGCCTGTTGCAAGTAGGATTTTTTAAATATATTTTTTGCATAAAATATTTTTTCAGATTTTTCCCAGATTTTTCTGCAAATTCGAAGTTCGAACCTGGAACTATGGAAGAGAAACGCCGGCGGCCGTGGCCGAAGGTCCCACAACGATAACTACCGTAACCTAAAAATTTTATTTTCCCTGATCAATTTTTTTTCGTTTTTTACTGATTTTCGTCGATTTTTTGAATGAATGAATCGATTTTTCCCAATTTCAATCATTTCGCCTCTTGAAACCTGTACAAAAAGTCCATAGTACCCCAACACAACCGAAAAATAACTAAACACAAAATTGTGTGCCAAATCATCCCCTCTTTTTCTCTGGCACCCTCCACACTACAAACATTATTTCTCTCCTTGCTAAAGTTCTCTTCCACTCTTTCTCTCTTGGTTTATTTATCATCCTCGAAAAAAAGAGTGTCGATTACGATTGTGCCCTTCTAGAAACTCTCTCTTATCATGTAACTGATAAGAACCCCCCTCCGAAAGTTCTGTGATGTTTGTGGGCCACCACGTGACACCGCCTGGGTCCGCTCTTCTTGAATTCGAATCTACGATGAGGTCTAGAGATAGAATCTAATTGCAAGGCCATAAAAAAAACGTATCTCTTGATCAAAGGCACTTTTCGAGAAGTTTCGGTTGTGATCTTATCCTTTTTCTTCTTTACTGACGGTTGCGTGGTTCGTCTTCTATCAGATTCTATCAAAAGTGACCCAATGTACTTTGAACAAGAATCACGCCATATTTTTCTAGATTTCAGAGACGATTCTGCCGGCTTTTCCGACATATACTCAGAAATTCGAGAACTTTTATTAGCTCTGTACAGCTCTATCAGTTTGCTTACGACCTGACGACCAATAATTTATGCCAATTTTTCGAATTATTAGCCGAAATTCCGTGAAATTCGACAAATTATTCAGAATTTATTCAATTTTATGGTTTTTAGTTACTGTACCGTTAAAGGCGCATGGGATGTTTTCTTGTGATGAGTTTCGACACGCTCCAACAGTTTTCGCGCGCGAATTTAAAAATAAATAAGTATACTGTAAGGTTAAAGGCGCTGCTGTTTTCTTACAATGGTTCTCGGCACGCTTTAACAATTTTTGCGCGCGAATTTCGAAACAAAGCCAAAAAAACTTGGTTTTTAGGCATTTGTTTCTCTTTTTCCACTTTTTTTTTCTGTCAGAAACCGTTCAATATGCGTATTCCCAAACTCATGAGTGAAAGTTTGGCTGATAAGCCTCCCCGATTTGCGGGAGAAAAAGTGAAAAGTGGCATGACCAGAGTTCAAAGGAAACATCCCACCTTTTTTCTTCAACGTTCTTTCAATGTTCTCTGGAATTTTTTTTGTTACAGACATTTTTCTTTTAAAAGCAAAAGTTGGAGGCGTTTGTCTGGAGGCTCTGTTGCCAAAAATTTAAAGGAAAACTCGGAAACGCAGGCTGCAAGAGGGAATGCATTTGCAATTCTTTTCTCTTTTTTTCCTGTAAATTCCTCTCCTTTTCTCTTTTCTTTTTTCTCCAATCATTCAATACACCGACCCAAAGAATATCCCCGCCGGTCCGAAAGTTTCGACCTTGCCCTCTCTGTGTCTCTTTCAATGCCCTCTCGCTCTATTTGCACCGCCCATTTACCCTGTGCGGCGGTCGGTCGAGGACGTGTAGCCTGGTCACAGTTCTATTTCTTTTGCCATTCTGTATGGTTGTTTCGGTTTGCAGTTTTCCTAGTTATAATGGCTTAAATTTAAATCTCGCGCTATTTTTTGCTCTAGGTGTGCACTTTTTCGTAACAGTGCTCGCGTACGATATCCACGATGCTCCGCGCATCATGCAAATTTGTCAGGAAAATTTTTGGAAAAAAATTGAAAAATCAACGAATTCCAAAGCAAAATGCGCCCGTTTCTCGCTTGTTCCACCTTCGCTCGACATGCTTTCAGGTTCTCCATTTCATAATTCCTCTATTTTTCCGATTTCTTCACTAAATTCGGGTTTTTTCAGAGGGTTCACAACTACTAACGCAATGGCGGCTCAAAAGATTCAAGGAGGAGACATCGTCGAGATGCAAGGAGATGAGATGACCAGAATCATCTGGGATCTCATCAAGGAGAAGCTCATCCTCCCTTACGTCGATCTCAACCTCCATTTCTTCGATCTTGGCGTCGAGCACCGTGATGCTACCGATGATCAAGGTGAGTAATTTTAAGACTAACGCCTTCTAAAAACTTTTCTTCTTTTCAGTTACCATCGACGCCGCCAACGCGACCCTCAAGTACAACGTGGCTGTGAAGTGCGCGACCATCACTCCAGATGAGGCCCGTGTTGAGGAATTCAAGCTCAAGAAGATGTGGAAGTCACCAAACGGAACCATCCGTAACATCCTCGGAGGAACCGTCTTCCGTGAGCCAATCATCGTGAAGAACGTGCCACGCCTTGTCAACACCTGGTCCAAGCCAATCATCATCGGACGTCACGCTCACGCCGATCAGTACAAGGCTACCGACTTCGTTGTTCCAGGAGCTGGAAAGCTCGAGATCAAATTCGTCTCTGCTGATGGCACGCAGACCATCCAAGAGACCGTTTTTGACTTCAAGGGTCCAGGAGTCTCGCTCTCCATGTACAACACCGACGAGTCGATCAGAGACTTTGCTCACGCCTCCTTCAAATATGCTCTTCAGAGAAAATTCCCATTGTACCTCTCCACCAAGAACACCATCCTCAAGAAGTACGACGGACGTTTCAAGGACATCTTCGCCGAGATCTACGTCGAGTACGAGGCTGCCTTCAAGTCCGCCGGAATCTGGTATGAGCACAGACTCATCGATGACATGGTTGCTCAAGCCATGAAGAGTGATGGAGGATTCGTTTGGGCTTGCAAGAACTACGACGGAGACGTTCAATCGGATTCCGTTGCTCAAGGATACGGATCCCTTGGATTGATGACTTCAGTGTTGGTGTGCCCAGATGGAAAGACTGTTGAGGCTGAAGCCGCTCACGGAACCGTCACTCGTCACTACAGAATGCACCAGAAGGGACAAGAGACCTCCACCAACCCAATTGGTAAGGGGGGAAAATATTTTTCTTTCAATTTTCACAAGAAATGAGGTGAAAGGGCACATTAATTTTTTGCGGAGATAAGATAAGACTGTTATCATTTTTGAAAATTCGCCGTCTCTCTCTCGCTCGCTAAAGTCAGTTGAAGAAAATAGATCAAAAATTGATCTCTTTCAGCTTCGATTTACGCCTGGACCCGCGGATTGTCCCATCGCGCCACCCTCGACAACAACGCCGCCCTCGCCACCTTCGCCCAAAACTTGGAAGCCGTGTGCATTGAGACCATGGAGGCTGGATTCCTCACCAAGGATCTCGCCATCTGTGTCAAGGGAGGAAACGCCTCCGCAGTCACCCGTTCCGACTATCTCAACACCTTCGAATTCCTCGACAAGCTGGCTGAGAATCTCGCCAAGAAGCAAGCCACCCACTAATTTCTTTCCCTTATTCTTTTGAAAGAATCTCAACATTTCTATGCGAATTTCCATTTTAAATTTACTGTGATATTGATTATTAATATTTTCATTGTATGATTGATCAGTTTTTCCTCTACTCGTACACATTAAATCCCTTTTGTCCCATTCCAACTTTATTCACAAGATTCGAAAAAAAATTACTCTTGCCCGAAATCAATGCAAGTTGAGAGCGGATATTTTGTTAGATTTGAGTGTATTATCTCTATTTTCGTCCGATTTTTACCGTTTTTTCGATGTAAATCGGAGAAAATGAGTTTAAATTATGAAAATCGTTGAAAAACCGGTAAAAATCGTCGAAATTTGAAATTACGCTTGTTCGCTCTTGCGTCTTTAAAGAAAACTTAACGAAACATCCGCTCTCAACAAGCTTTGAGTTCGGGCTGAAAGAGTAAAAAGATCACTTCACAGAAATGATAAGAGGGTTATCGAAAGATTATTCGGTTTGCTCGTGGCAAATGTCAGCGAACTCTGGCGCTCTCAACGTCGCCTTGATCATCTTTTTGAGCATCGCGTAGCGCGGAACGATCGGAAACATTCGGGATGAGTCGTACTTGTCGGTTAGCTCCTGAAAATCGATCAATTTCGGAAAAAAACGGAAAAGAAAATTGGAAAATACCTTGATTAGACGTCTCAATCCGAGATATTTCTTAGTGAGACGATACAGTTGGGCGTACAGCGCCTCACATTCTTTGACGAGGTCTTCTGATTTTCGAGCTGAAAATTTTTAAAGTTTTCCTTCATAAAAACTGAAAATCGAAGGTTTGAACGATTTTTCCAGATAAAAACATTTAAAATTTCCGCTGCTTCAGTTACAAAACAAGTGAACACCCGAAATTTCGCTATTCGATTTAATTTTTTTTCGTCAGACAAACCTTTCAACGAATCATAGAGTGCAGTGTCGACATTGGATTCTGCTGGTTTTCCGATCGTCGATTGGAGAAGAGCGCCGATTCCACGTGTTGGTGGAAGCTGAGTTGGAGTCTCTTCGAGTAGCTCGATGATTCTGAAAATTCAGATGTTTTGGGGAAAACCGCTAGAAACAATTGAAAAAATAGGTGAAAAAACTACAGTTTCAAATTCGCTACAATTTTGGTAAATCATTGTTTTTGCATAAGCAACTTGCAACAACACATTCGAAGAAAAGTTTAGAAATTCTTGAGAAAATTACTACTTATTAGGTTGTTAAAAAAGTAATGTGCGTTGGGTACTAACTACTTCGAATTACAGCTGGTGTAGTTCTTCAAGAAATACATCGAAACTTTGATCATGCGTTGGCAGTAAGTGGGCGAAAATTATGGAGAAAAGCCCTCTGATTGATATCCTCTTGTTTTAGTTTTGTGTGAGTTTAAAAGAAATCAAAAACGCGCATTACTTTCTTACCAACCTAATATGTGTTTCTAGACATGCTGATGACATTAAAATTTCACACTGCTAACAAAAATGTTTATTGGCTCAGAAAGTGATTTCAGTAAAACCTGTAATAGCCCCTAATACTTAACGTTGAGCCAATTTATCTAATTTTTTGTGAAAGATACCAAAAAGTTGTCAAGTGATAAACTGTTTATCATAATATCACCTTCATTTTATCAGTTGACCGATTTTCGGGATCTTTTGTAGAAATCGAGATAATTGAGCTCAAAGTGAATTATAGGGCTATGTTCGTGCAGTTGTTTTTGAATCAATAGTTAACAATATTTTGGGAACTTTTTTAAAGCCCAAATCATAATTTCAAATGTTTTTTATAATCCGAGGAAGTTTCTTCAATATTTATTATGCTTGTCTGAGAAAAAAAAGGTTAGAGAGTATTTTTTTCAGTATAAATACGGTAGCGATATTGAAGCGGAGAGCCTAAATAGCACACATAAGGAGGAGACGCAGACACTTTTTCTCTGCGTCTCAACCTTTTTTTTCTCAGACAAGCATAATAGCTCAACTTTTTAAAATCCTCATAAAGTTCTTTACTGTTTCATTAGGTTTTTATGATTGGAACTATATTTGGCTCGCAGTTAATCTGAAAAGTTAATCTGAAAAACTTTACTAACAATCACCAAATTCTGTGTATGTGTCCGGTGTTCCAGGTTCTGAGACCCTAGCAAAGTCCCAGTAGACCAAACATTTTCAAATTTTCACAGGTGATAGCGGCGAGATGTTGCCCGTCTATTTTTAATTTCGAAAATTTGTTTCTGACGTCTTCTGGAGACGTTCTTCTATTTCTACATAGCAAATCTTTCGAAAATTATTTTCACGTCATTCCCGCCCAACCTTTCTATTTTTTTTCTTATCCACATTATATCTGACAAAAAAAGGAGATTTTGTGGAAACAATTTTCTGTGTCAGTTTTGAAAGGAGTGAGAAAGAAAAAATTTAGAAAATTAGAAAATTCTAAATTTTTTACAAAATTTGATTCTGAACTTCTAAAATTCTAATTCAGAAATTCGGAAATTCGGAAAATTGGAAATACGGAAACTCGAAAATACCGAAATTTGAAACTTCGGAAATTTTGAAGTTTAAAAACCAGAAAGTTCTAATTAGAACATTAATGTCCAAAAATACAGGAAATTTAGAAGTATAAAAATTCAGATATTCGAAAATTATGAAATTTGAGAATTTGAAAGTTTGAGCACTCGAAATTTTGAAAATCCAAAATCTCGAAAGCTGGGAAGTCAAAAAAATCAAAAACTCAGAAGTTCAGAATATCAGAAAGCCCGAGTTCAGAATTTAGAAAATTCGGAAATTCATGAATTTTGTGAATCAAAAACGCAGAAATTAAGTTTTAGAGAAATTCGGAAAACCACATTTGTGTTAAAATTTTAAAGTTTGGGAATTCGTGAAGTCGAATCTCAGAAAGCCGGAAATACGGAAACTCGAAATTACGAAATTTCCGAAATTACGAGTTTTGAAATCCAAATGCTGAGAAACTCAGAAACCCAGAAACTTAAAAAAATTTGAAAATTGAGAAATCTTTAAGTTCTAGAATCACATTGTCAAAAATTCAGGACTTCTGAATTTCAAAACTTATGAAAAAAAATTATAAGTTGTCAAATCCAAGATTCTGATATTCCAAAATTCAGAAAAATTTAATAGTTCAAAAATTCGGAAACTTTGAAGTTCATAAGTTTTTAAATGCTCAATATGAAATTCAACGATTCGTAAATAGGCTCTTCAAAACCCGAATTAAAAAAAGGTTATCTGGGTGGTTAGACGGGGATGACCTAAATATTGCTTCAATAATATTACTTAAAGGAGGGCAGACAGCAAAAATTTCGGGGAAAATTTCAGGGAATGTGTATTTTGCCGTCGCGGTGTTAGCACCTAAAGCGCGCAATCCCACGCGCAAACATTTTTATTTTTTTATTTCCCGACTTTATTTTTTTCAATTTTTAACGACTTCAAACATTAAAAAAGCTCTTTTTTCTTATTTATTATAAAACCCATATAAAAGTGAATTTTTTTAATGTAAATTTAAAGTTCTATCGACCGATTATTTTGCCAGTCGCCGGTGTTTTTTATAGGCATGCGAAAAAAACTATTTTCTCTTCGATAACCGTTTCTTCACTGTTCCTATTTATCTCATTACTTCTCGTTATTACTCTAGGAATAAAAAACTGTTTTATGACTGGGGTTTTCAGAGACGTCTCCATTTTTACTGCTTCCTTCACCTTCCGACGACCAGCCCTGCACGAGGATTGTTTTAATTATGTGGTTTTTCTTTCAATTGTTATGTCTCTTTCTAAAAATTAATTGTGGTTTTTTTCATAATTTATTTGTTAACATAATAAAACACGTTTCTTCATTTTCAACTGATTTTGATACCTCGGAGCGAGGCCTCGGCGGCACTCTGGTAGCCCTTCAGAAATTCCGAGTTCAAAAAGTTCAATTCGAAGGAAACAAGGGAAGAAAAAAGTAAAAACACCAGCAGGGATTGAACCTCTGAGGGGGGGTCACCATGGTAAATGGTCAAGAAAACACATCTGGTGTTACTACTCCATTTCTGGACCATCAACTACAGTGGCCTAGGCAAATAATATTTCTGACTGTTTCATAAGATTTTTATGCTTGCATCTATCTTCTCCCTGTGGTACGTACAAAAAAGAAACCACAGAATTTTCAGAATTATAAAACTTGAGAAATTCAACTTCTCAATTTTGTTGCTAAACAATCATCTATCACAGAAAGGATGTTCCATTTAGTATTGTCCAAATCACACAGTCAGCCTTTACATTAAACTCGTTTGCATTTCAAATATTTCTGATACGAAGAATATACCTCTCTAATTGATTTCAATTTTTTAGATTACTGTTGCAAGTACACTACGTTTTTTGTGTTTATTTTTTCTTTCTATTATTCGGCTTTTTTAATGAACCTTCTGTTAAACTTGAATTTAGTTCTGTTTCAACGAAGGGGAATGAAACCTCTGACACATGACATTTCAACTCACTTAACAACGTAGCAATTGGCATCTTCTGTTGGATCCTGTGCTGGGATGTTCAGCAATTTCCAATACTGCTTCTCGAGCATGGCTACCTATAGAAAAAACAAAAAAATTAGGGTTTCAGAAAATAACAATAAGAAGTTCGGGGAATTGGGAAATCAATCGTTTAGGTAGTAGGAGCCCATTGCCAAAAATGACACAGCTTTTCTCGTTTTCTGTGAAAGATATGAAAAAGTAGTCAACTGATAAACTGTTTATCATAATATCAAAAGTGTTTTGTCAGTTGACCACTTTTTACACAGGAATTGAGATATTTGAGCTCAAACAATGTGGTACCCTTCTATTACAGGTTATACAATTTTTTCTGGACCCTCGAAGCCATCTATTGTCAATACCAAAATAATAAATTTCATGAAATTTCGATTGGACTACAAAAAAAATTTTTAAAGCTTCAGTTATCCTTTAAATATGTTTCAGTATTATCATCAGGGATTCCTTAGGGCCTATGTATGCCAATATCTTACTTCTCTAACCGATTGCCCCAACTTGACATATCTCATCAACGCATTCGCCTCCTTTGATTTGAGATAATCCTCTTGAAGCTTTTTCAGCGAGTTCTTGATACGTCTGAAAATCTTAACTTTCAAAAAATCACATTTTTAAAGAAAAATGGAAAGTCGTGTTTATAGTTTGACCTACATAATTGGGGTCAAGTCTATTTGTTGCACCTTGCAAGAATGGGAAGCTATTAAAATTTGTATGAAGGTCAGAAAAAAGAGCAAAGATTTTTTAAAGGAAGGTGTGCAAAAAAAGTTATGATTTGAAAAGGAAAAAAATTGTTTCAAAAAGTGGATGTAATCGAGGAACATTTTCCTGGTGCTATTATGGATCTGAATTTCGAAGTTTTATGAACCGAACCTGAAATTATGTGACTTCTTTAAAGCGTCAACTTCGAAGCGATTTTTCTCGGTTTGTGTGCGAGATATCAAAAAGTTGTCAACTGATAAATTGTTTATCATAGCATCAGAAGTTTTTTATCTATTGGCTACTTTTTGTTACCTTTTACAGGAACCGAGACAAAACGGCTCAAAGTTTAGGGGCCCTTAAACAGGGTGACGCACAATTACCCGCCCTGATAAAAACAGGTATACCTTTAGACATATTTATCCTGGAAACACGAGAACTAATAAAAATATAATTTCACACTTGATTCAAAGCCTCGGGAATTTTCAAAGCGATTCCTCAAGTCTAGGTTTTGTTATAATTGTCAAAGATGAACGGTGTGGTGTTTCCTAGGATTTTCATGAAATGAGGCAACATTGACTAGCGATAACTCAGCTTAGAATTGATAAAAAAGTTTGAAACTTGGTCAGTTTACTGATGATTTATTTGGGTACATACACTCTGAATTTGAACCCAGTACACAACTCTACTCAAATTTTGTGCTAGTTCAAACTTTAGACCAGATAATTTTAGCGCCATATTCGAGGTTTCACGGTATGCAACAGAGCTTGGTAGTCGTTTAAAAGTGTCTGGTTTGTTCAATTAGAATTTCAAGCGCTCTATTAGCGTCCAATAGAGCGCATTTACATTTCTTCCACAACTTACCTGTACGGCTCCAGAATCCTCCACCTGGTACGATGTAGTCGATATGCAGTGGTGATGAGCGTATCGCGACTGGTCTCTGCACGAAACATGAAAGTTATAGAATGAAAAAAGATGAAAAAGCAATTCAGAATCGCTCTTCAAAAAAAGGGCGTGACCTAAAACTTACTTGCGGGAGCGACGAACTGCGGCCCATCGGAGGCGCCCTCCTTTGTCATTGACATCAGAATGTTGAGCATTACGTCCTGCAAGAAAAAGAAATATAGGAAAGGAGAGAAATCATTGAATATGGGGAGTTGAGTGTAGGACTAGGTGGGTGTCAAGAGGCAAATCTTGATTTTTTTGGGTGATAGATTTCCTAGATGTATAAAAGGCAAAGAATAGAGTCAGAGCCTCTGACTGACTCAGAGGGAATTTTGAAATTTTGAAAAAAATTCTAGAAAGTACCTATTTCTTCCGTTTCAAGAGCCCTATAAATTTACGTTTGTGCTGTTGTTACTGTTACTTGGTTGACAATTGTAGAAGACAAATAAAAATGTACCTGGCAGCCTAGAAATTCCTAGAACAAATTCTGTCTTTAAGACAAAATTTGTAGGTGTTTACTGTTATAACAGAAAGCCACTTCTTTGTCAGTTCATCAGAGATTATCAGATTTTTCCGCACTCTTCACTGGGAGGATGCGTAGTGCGCTCTACCGTACAATTACACTTTTCGGGCAAACTTGTACTTTTGAATTTTTACTTTGTTAATTGCTAAATTTGAGTAAAACATAAGAAAAATCCAGAGTTTCAATCTTCTGTTTTTACTGTAAACTTAAAAATGGTGTTCTCGAAACAGTGTTTCTCTTATAAATTCACAAAAATTAAAATAAGACCAGATATATATTCCAATTTTTCAATACAAAGGGATATATAGTGCGTTCTACCGTTCATTTACCCAAATTCCCGTTTATGTGGCAATCTTGTACTTCTGTAGTTGTCATGAGGGTATTTGCTACATTCAAGTAACGAAAAACCTGAAATTCAAATTTCTAGTAGGATATTTGGCATATGTGCGGTGGAGCGCACTACTCATAATCATAGTTCCCTAATAAACCGTAAAACCTTTATTATAAGGGCTCCCTGTTGCGGTAAGTTCCTATAAATTATCAAGAAACATATTTGAAATACCTTCACCAGAATAAGTTTGAAACTTTACGTCGCATCTTACCGGGAGTTTTTGCAAGATCCGAAAATTATTTCATTAATATCCCCGATTGTTACTGGAAACTCAAAAATGTTGTTATTGAAACAGTATTTTTTAATCTTTTAAATTTAACCAAAAAATGAGCAATCCTAGTCTACGACTTCTGAAATCTAGACATCCAAAAGTTGGAGAGTGATTTCATTTTGGCATTTTTAAACCTCCAAGGTCTTCTCCCTCCCTCAAAAAACACTGAATTATTCATATGACTGATAGATGATCTGACCAGAGGTTGAAAAGTTGAAATTTGAGAAAACAAAACAAAACGAAAAAAATGTTATGTCGGTATTTTAGCCACATTAATGAGTAGAGAAATTTTAAAATAAGGTCATACCACTGAAACGGAAAAGAAATAAGTTTTTTTTTAGAAATTGAGATAATTTCAAAATAACAAAAGACAAAAATCCGGATTTTCGTGAAAATGATAGCTAAAAGTTCGACTGACAAGTCAGACCTAATGTATTAATTTTAAAGTGTACTTTGTAAGAAATGAATTCTACTTTTTTTGTGAAAATAAATCTTCCGTAAAAAACAGAAAATACAAATTCGGAACAAGGAAATAGTAATGCGGAATTCCAGTGAAGGCTGGAATAGAAGCTAACGTTGGCCTAATGTATCTGCTTTCTTGTGAGTTTGACCAAATCTCAATTTTTTTAAACCACTTTTGGATATTTTTCGAGCGAATGAGAAAAAATCGGTTCGAAGTTGACAGTTAAAAGACATGCTATTAGGTTGGCGGGAAAGTCTTTGTCACTCTGTTTGTTTAATCACTGTTCTCGTATATGGAGGCTGTGTATGATATCGACTCTAGTGAATAACAAGGTGATAAGAACCTTCCATATAAACAAGTCCCCATCTCCTTCCCTGCTCCTCATCTGTAATTGAAACGATATGTTTGTTCCCACTGCTATTCACATCAGACATGTTTTGATTTACCTCTTCCTATCTCACACCACGATGAAGGATTCGGAAACTTTCTTGAAGAATGTGTACAACACACATGCCCCTCACTACAATACTATTCGCAATTGGTTCCATCGTTTCGAAAAAGATGACTTCTCGCTCGATGAAAAGGATCGCTCTGGGAGACCCCGTGAGTTGGATTTGGACAAGCTGAAGCACGCATTGCAATCGGATCCATTTCAATCTAGCCGTGAACTAGCTGTCACATTCGGAGTTCACCATAGCACAGTCCTTGAAGGTTTGAAGTCTCTTGGAATGAGAAAACTTTTTGGTCGATTCATACCTCATCACCTGACTCAAGCCAACCTTGACCGCCGAGTCGACGATTCGATTACTCTTCTCACTCTCCACGCGGGCGATCGATGGCTGGACCGGCTAATAACCGGAGATGAGAAGTGGGTCTTCTACGATAATCACCACAGGAAATCCCAGTGGGTTGGAGAAGGAGAGAGCCCACAGGATGTCCCCAAACCCGACCTTCATCCGAAAAAAGTTATGCTCTCTGTGTGGTGGGGAGTGGACGGCCCCATCTACTGGGAACTTCTGCCCGAGGGCAAAACAATAACTGGAGACCTCTACACTACTCAACTACGAAACCTCAAGAAAGCAGTCGACCGTTCGGCCCTGAAAGACAAGAAAGTGTACTGTCAACATGATAACGCTCGCCCACATGTTTCGAAACAAGTGAAGCAGGAGCTGATGGGATATGGATGGAATGTTCTCCCTCACCCCCCGTATTCTCCTGATCTTGCTCCTTCCGACTATTGGTTATTTGGCGATATGACACGTGCCTTCGAAGGAAGAAGCTTCAATTCCCGTGGAGCGGTCGAAGCGGCACTCAAACAATACTTTGCCTCACGCCCGGCTGGATTCTACCGCAATGGAATCCATAAATTGAGGGAACGTTGGAGACATGTTGTTGATAATGATGGACAATATAATTAATTATTCGGTTATTTTTTCTTTGAGAAATAAACTATTGAAAAAGTGACAAAGACTTTCCCGCCAACCTAATATAACAGGTTTTGCTCTTTGAAATAATATATTTGAATTCGAGGAGGGATAAACATATGCCATGAAAAGTGAGTGAAAACGAAACTTCTTTTAAAGGGGGGGGGGGGGGACATGAAGAAAATAATGTTCTCGAAATTCCGTTCAAAGATGCCCCTCGAGGAGTTGAACTTGTGAGGGCGATGATTGAGGGTGCGGGCCCCGCTACCGACTTAGCCACGCGGGCAAAGAGAAAGCGATTGCATACATAAAGGCGAGGACGACAGCTGTACGCAGAGTGACATTAAGCGTTGTACACCGTGACGGTAGAATGCATACTCTAGCTACAAAAAAACTACGAAAAATCTCCTGTCCCCCCACCTTTAAAATGATTTCATTATTAAATAAGTTTGAAACAGACGCATTCTGAAATTTATTGAAATTGGAAAACTGACTTTGTGTTACAATACCAAGTTAGAACAACATAACCTGTTTCTTAAAGCTTGTAAGAAATCGAATTATTAGAATTTCGTAATCCAGTTTGTGTTTTATGCCGCGTTCAAAGTTGATTTCCAGGAGCCATTATGTTATCAATCTGCTTAAATATAAAAATTAAGCTGGAAATTTCTGGTAGCTTTGGGAAAAGTGTTACGGTTTCAGTTAACTGTTAAATTATTTAATCTAATTTCACAAAATGATATGTCACGTGCAGGATGAGTTTTGTGTTTCCGGAAAATGAAAAATGCCAAAAAAATACTTTTTATGGCGAGAGTATGCAATTTGGCGT